TCTCTGCTCATCTTCATTGTCTCCTCTGGACCTGCTCTAAGGAGGTCCTCTGAGGACCCCAGAGCTGGACACAGTGCTCCAGGTGGGTTTTCAGAATCACCTCCTTTGACTTGTTGCCTGGGAAGGGAGAAGTTTGAGGGAATTAAAAATTCAGCTGGCTCCCTAGAGAGATAACCTGGTATAAAAAATTAGCACACCAAAGCTTCATGTATTCTGATGCTGGACAAATTGCATACTGTTTCATTTGCATTACCACAACCAACTGGAGCTCATCCGAGGAACTAGAACAATAAATATTTGTAAGATTTATTAATTATCAGGAAGAGGAGCAGGACTCACAGACTGTTGTGAAGACAGATCTGAATCCAGCAGCCCCTCAGGTCACTCTTCCATGGAAGTGGTGTATGTAGACATCCAAAGTTTAGTGTGAATTATAAAAAAATGCATCCCTAAAGTGAAGCTGAACTAACTCTTACCCAACCTAAGAGTCTTACAAGATGTTTTATTAGCAATGTACGAGGCACAAACTAGTATTACATCTACTTTGTCTTATTTGTTTTAATTAGTAACAGCATTGCCATTTCTTTAAAACGGAAAATGAAATTTGTTTCCATTCAAATGGAAAGTTTGATATTTATATCATTATGTCACTTATATATCATTTATATCATTGCTTGAATGATATAAATGCTGCTTGAATTAGGTTCAAAAGAAAAACACTACTTTTATGAAGGTGGAGTTTCTAAAGGCACTGTTGCAGATACTGCCTTTGGGTATCTCAGGGTTTGGAAGGAGAGCTTTTTGCAAGCTTCAACATGTGGTTTTGGGGACTGATGTCAAATACCAGGTGAAATAAAAGTCCCTTCTGGTGACAGATGGTACCCCTTCTAGCAAAGAGTAGACAGTGGTAAAGCAACTTAAAATTGCAGAAATGAATTTGTTTGTTTCAAAAAGCCATTAAGGTAAGAAAAGTTGCTTAATAATAACTGATGAGTAATAGAAAAGGCAGCTGAAAGAAGAAGAAACCAATGGTATGATAGCATAGAGACTTGTTCCAGACATAGGGGCAGGGTTGCAGCACAGCAGCTACCCAGAGGAGGCCAATTAAGATGAAAAGTGTGGGAGGAGCAGAAAAGAAGTAGGATTTACTATAAGCAATGTTTCAACCTCTAGTGTTACTCTGTTATCATTTATTATCCTGCACTTCTAGTGGAAGGTGTCCCTGCCCACGGCAGGGAGGTTGGAACTAGATGATCTTTAAGGTCCCTTCCAACACAAACCATTCTGTAATTCCATGATTCTATAACCTCCTTGTCATATCTGAGCCAAAACCAACATAGAACAGCAAAAGCTAACAAGATATAATGAAGATGAATAAACTACAACTATTAAAAGACACAATTTTCACATTAAGGCTTTACTTTTTAATAATTGTCAGTACTTTGTCCTCAATTTCCTGTTACAGGCAATTTTGCTACCTTTAGAGTAATAAGGGAAGATCTGCACTGACAGGAAAAGAGATCATGAATAGAGTTGCTTAGCCTGAACTGAGTGGGAGTAGGTAATATGACTTCTTCCTTGTACGTAGTTTATTCCATAATATTGCTTATTTTCTCCGCTGTGCTGCAGGAAAACACACCAGAATTGAATGCTTTATTCTTCCTGTCCAAGCCCTCTGACTAGGCAGTGTCTAAGCTTGTTGATAGACATGTTTCTGCAAACATACGTTTAAAACATATAAAGTTAAGCCAGAACACAAATGAACACCAGAAATCAGTTACTGCAAGAATAAGCCACACTTTGTGTACAGTTACTGGTCAAGAAATAAGGAATGTAAAGTGACAACTATTTCTGAGTGGTCAAAAAGCAGTAACTGCACAATAGTTATCTGCACAGGTTCCTCCTGTAGTGTTTTTCTTGCTAATGAGTGGCATTTCCTCATCTGGAGAGTCCAGCTTGCTGTCCCAACTATAAAGAAGTACTTAGAAACAGCCACACCCACCTGATGAGTGGCAGCTCTAACCCCTTTATTAGATTCAACTCTCTTATGCTAAATTTTCTTTTGCGCCTCCTCTTTTTTCCCTTCAGCTAACACAGAAGCAATGAGCCCTCAATGCTGCTGCCAGGTTTCATTTTTACATCAGTATTCAACCGCTTTCTTCCTTTTGAGTAAATGCTAAAAGCTGTCTTTTAGCCCACATCTTTATTTAAAAATGGAGGCATAAAACACAATGAGATAAACAAAAGGACTAGTTAGTATTTACTTTCCACACCTAACAGAACAGGAGTGGCTCATTTCTGATATTGATTCTGAGTAGCAATTTATCAAAAAGGTATAGAAGGCACAAAGCACATGCTGCATCAAAAGCAGTATTTGTAGAGTTGCTGGTTTGGTTTCTGAACCAGAAGCCCACACAGGTTTTAAAATGACAAATGGCTACTGTATTCATTTGTAGGATTTTCTGTTACTTCATAGCTGTATAAAATAAAATATTCATGTCCCAACTCTGTTCCCTGCCAAGCACTGATATTGTTTAGTAGTGGATAGGGAGCTGGACTGTATTTGTTCAGAGTGGCAAAGGCTTCTCTGCCCACCGCACTGAAATTATTTTGAGATTTATAGAACATCTATGTAACCATAGAGAAAGCAGCTTTCCAGACAGGCCAGACTGTTGTGAAGGGAGGCAGCGCTGACTCATGCAGACTGAATTATGGCAAATAAAATTTTGCCAACTGCTGAGCAGACACAAGGGTTTTAGTTGCAAACCTTAACTGCAGCACAGTCAGGCAGAAATGTTCAGGCACACAGGAATTTCACAAGTGCCAAGTGCTGACAATAACAGAGAAGTGGGGTTAAGCAAGGTTATTTGTTGCAATTTGCAATCCTTATGCCACAATTAGTAAATAATACCTTGGTAAGCCAGAGTTGCAAGTTCATTTCAGATGCATTTCTTTCCCCACACTCATGTTTTAATGCAAGCCAAGAAGACAGTCTGATCCCAGTAAGATCCCTACTGCATTTGCTACCAATGATTTTTTTCCCCTACAAATCTTTCCATTTTAGGTGCTAAAAAGCTGACATTGGGTACATAGTGTTCAGTTATGGGGTAAAAGCTCATGTGCATGCCCACAGAGAGACAATGGTGGGGAAGAGCAAATCATACCCAGGGCCATCAGCCCGTCAGGGATCCATCTCCACAAGCCCAGAGGAGCACAGAGGCACAGTGGCAGGTGACAACCCAAGTCACAGACTCCCTTGCCTGGACCTTTCCCAGGGCTGTCCCAGCAGACCCATCACCCGTGTCCTGGTGTGAAACTCACCAAGGTGAGTCTTGGGAGCAGCTCTCCAGGACTGCTCCAGAGGGTTACTGCCTTGGAGGTGTGCTGCACATTATGGGATGCAGGGGAAGAGCATTTTAAGATTGTATGGGACTTAGTGAGGAATGTTTAGGGGAGGAACCAAAGGTGGGAAGAGGGAGGGACTTAGATGATTTGGAGAGGAACAAGTGTGGGAAATAGAGGGGTCTTGGTGAGTCATATGTTCAGGATGCAGCAACTGGGGAGACTGGAATCCAGGGACCAGTTCTACTTTTGAACAGTGTACCTCTTGGTTTACCTCTTACCTGAATTTTGTGAGGTTCCCTGGAATTACACGTTGCTTTTAGGGGTTGAATGATATAAATATCAACTTTGAAATAAATCTTCTGAGATGTGTCAGAATGTTTTTGAGTTGCTGTGAAAAGGAAATTTTTCCAGATTCACAGATTTCTGGAAAGGCATGCTACAGAGCAAGTAAGTACTATGATAAAGATAGGCAAAACAGGGTAAGTCAATAAACTATGATTAATAACATAATTAACAAAACCAGGGATTCACTGAAAGGGCAAACAGACCACTGTGGTTTTAAACCAGCTTATGGAAGTCTACAAAAAAGCTCTGTGTCAATGAAACACATAAGTTTCCCCTGACTGTGGCTCTTGCTTGCCCGGTGTAACACTGACAATTTAAGGTGCTGCTGCCCCCCTCTGCCTGACATCCTGCTGGACTTTTCCATGGCAATCAGAAGCAAAGACAAATTCTTCTCCCAGCTGCTGCAAGTAACAACGTTGTGCTGTACCTCCAATCAGTGACTTAAAGTTGTTGCATTTAGGAGGTTGGGTCTAGTTTTGCAGTCTTTCCCCAAAACTGAATTGACCTTTTAGATTTAGGGGTTTTCTGCAGTTGAAAGTTGTTTTTGATGAGTGGTCTTTCAGGGCAAGTAATTTTGTAACTTAAATTTACATTAAAGTTTAACAGAGTTCAAGCCAGAGCTGAAATCAATGGAGTGTGAAAGGAGACCATACTATCAGCCATTAATGCTTTGCTTGAATCTTCATGCCAAGTTTATCTTGCTTTCATGCTGCTTCTTGCTTTGGAAAGGGAAATCTATAACAATTTGCTGATCTACTTCACTGATCTACTCAGCCTTTCTGAAAATCCATCTGCCTGAGGACTGGTTAGACTGCAGAATGACTAAAACAGTTGTTCAAGAACAAACAGCTCTAATATTTCTGACCTATAATACTCACCTATCTATCTGTTACCTTTAACCTTCAGCTCTAAATAGTTTAAGGCAAAATTATCTTTTTGCCCTGTGTCAGCAGTGTCAGGAAAAAGCCTTTTACTGCCTAACAAGATAAATCCATTGGCACTTGGCACTGGCAGTCCTTCCAAGAAATACTATGCTGCATTGCTGCAGCTCAATTTGCTTTTCCTCTTCTGAACTGGGATCATCTAGATTGGATGCCACTGCCTAGATTAATATCTTGGCACTTAGCAATCATATTAACTGGAGTGACAACTGCAAGCATGGTAGTTTTAGCCTGCTGGAAATACCAAGTGCACAATAGTTGTGTCCCATATTTCTGCCATGCCGAACTCCTGAACCATTTTCTCTTACAAGGAGCCAGCTCAGTCCTGCCTGAGTAGCACTCGCTAGATTGAGAGGACTTAAAATCAGATGAAAGAGAAGAAACATTTTAATACAGACTCACAGCCAGGGAAAGGAGCTCTGTCAGTGTTACAAGGATGTTAAAGGTTCCTGGTAAATCCCACAAGATCCTTGTTTAGCATCATGAAGTGTTCATCAGTCCTGGAGTGGTAAAGGAGAAACAGGCAACTTCATGGGCATTATTCCAGGACAATCTATGACAGCAAACTCTGCTTTGCCCAGTCACAATGGAGCAGCTCAATATATCTGTGCATCCCTAGATTATCCTTGACTTTACCTGTCAGTCAGAGGAACTATACAGGGAAAGCACATCTCAATTCCATAGCAATAAGACAGCTTTGAATTGGAGCTTGCAATAAGGCACTTTAAGGCACAAATCCATAGAAAGGTTTAATTTCAGCACTTGCAAAACTACTTTATTTTCCCAACAGACCCCAGCCTTTTTCAGTGTAGAAAAATGAATAATGCTTGCAAGGTGAATTGTGCTTCCTGAATTGTTTTTTAAAAGTTTCTATAAACCTCATTATTCATCGAGAAGCCTTGGGGTTTATTTAATAACTATTCCGAAGCAGTGCTGAGTAGAAGTATACTTCGGTTGATTTTCTCTTGGGTTTTTATGTTGTTCTTCCTGTAACTGGTGCTTCACAAATGCAGCTTTATCTTCACAAGATTCCTGAGGCAAGTTAATATTAGTATCTTCATCTTACAGATGAAGGACAGAAAGGTGGAGCAATTTAAGCAAGAACATTTCAAACATTCGCTATTTTTGGGTACTTCTCTTGGGACACAAAAGCTTACTTGAAGGACTTGCTCTGCCTGGTTTCATTTGGAGTGGGATGTGCTTTCTTTCCACACAGCAAATCACACACAGCTCAAGTCACGGCAGAAATCAAAGGCTGGTAGAAGCTACAGCGCAACTCCTCCCCAGGCAAACCAATTTGTCATCACTTGTCACAATCCCACCTTCCTTCTGTTCCCAGCCATATGTTCCCCTCCCCTCGCACCAGCTCTGGCACCTGCCTGACTCCTCCAGTGAGCTCAGCCTGAGGAAAGGGAGAAAAATGTGTGATTAGTTGTTGACAATGAGCTACAGAATCAGTTTTAAATTTATAATAATCACAAAATCACAGAATGGTTTGAGTTGGAAGGGACCTTAAAGACTATCCAGTTCCAACCTCACTACCACGGGCAGGGACACCTTCTACTAGACCAGACTGATCAGGGTTCCATCCAACCTGGCCTTACAAGGCATATTTATTTGTTACTAATTTATGTTGTTGTTAATTCTAAAATAGCTATTTTGTGTAGTTAGGCATTAGCAACTATATATCAATTTACTATTAATTTACATAATGTATAAGAAATATAAAAAAATACTTATGAGTAGTCATTAATTATAGTTATCATTAATGGATGTCATTTATAAATTATTATATTCAAAATACCAGAACCAGATAAGATTTTGATGGCCCAGCAGGAAGCTGTGGAGCAGGGCAGGCACAGAACCACAGAATCAACTAGGTTGGAAAAACCTCCGAGATCGAGTCCAACCTTGTCAACCAGACCATGGCGCTGAGGGCCACGTCCAGCCTTTCCTTAAACACCTCCAGGGACGGTGACTCCACCACCTCCCTGGGTAGCCCATTTCGATGTCTTATCACCCCTTCTGTGACGAATTTCTTCCTAAGGTCCAACCTGAACCTCCCCGGCGGAGCCTAAGACTGGGTTCCCTATGTCTCCAAGCACCCACCACGGCAGCCCCTGCACTGACGGGCTCACAGCTGGTCAAAAAAAGTACGTTTTCACGCACCAATGACCAACGAATTACCAGCAAAACACCCTTTACCTTCCCCCAGCGAGACACCGCACTCCCTCCCCCCATCCCTCCGCCCCCTCCCTGTTCCCGCCCACTCCCGGCGGGCGCGGCGCGCTGGGGTCGCAGCGCGTGCGTGCTGGGACCCACGCTGGAATCAGCGGCGGGATCCGAGAGCCGTTACCGGGAACGATCCCTGGGAGCGATGTTCCGCCGTCCCCCGCGGAACTTCCGCGGCCGGCGGCGCGCAGCCTCCAGCGGCAGCAGCGAGGGTGAGCTGGAGCCACAGCCGGGGCCGGTCGCCGCCCCATCTCCGGACTCAGGCGCCAGCTCGCCCTCGGAGCAGGAAGCGGAGCCCGAGGAGGGCGAGCGGGACTCCCGCGGGAGTGCCGGGGCGGAGGGGCCGCTGCCCTCGGAGGAGCCGGCGCGGAGCGGAGCGGCGGTCGCGGGCCGGGGGCAGCGCCGAGCCGGGGCCGCGGCGGGGCCGGGCCGGGCAGGGAAGGAGCTGCTGAGCTTCGGCAGCGAGGAGGAACGGGAAGGTGAGGGATCGTGTGTGTGTTCCTGGAGGGCAGGGCCCGGACCCCGGGATAGGGCTACCTGGGGCTGCTGCCTCACCGAGCTGAGGGCTGAGGGCGCAGTCGCCTTGTTCCTCTTTGTGAACAAACCCGGCGGTGCCGGGTCGTGGGTAGGGCTGTTGAGGCTTTTCAGAACAAACCCATACAAAAGTGTGAGCTGGGCCGGTTTAGTCTGGAGAAGAGAAGGCTGAGACGGGATCTGATCAATCCATACAAATATCTCAAAGGCAGGTGCCAAGAGGATGGTGCCAGACTCTTTTCGGTGGTGCCCAGTGGCAGGACGAGGAGCAGTGGCCATAAACTAAAGCACGAGAAGTTCCACCTCAACATGAGGAGGAACTTCTTTACTCTGAGGTGGCAGAGGAACAGGCTGCCTGGGGAGGTCGTGGAGTCTCCCTCTCTGGAGACATTCAAACCCCACCTGGATGCGTTCCTGTGTCACCTATTTTAAGTGACCCTGCCTTGAATGATCTCCAGGGGTCCCTTCCAACCGTAACAGTTCTGTGGTTCTGTGAAAAGCGGTCAGATGATTATTTATGTCCCCCTACTTTTGTCTGGAAAACACTTGAAATCTTACCGCTGGAGAAAACCAGAGAGAACAAGTAGTGTGTGATTCTGTGACTAGTTAATAAGCTTAAATAAGTGAAACATAAATGTTTAATCGACTTTTTTAGGGTGTTGCTGTTGTGGCTGATGACAAGATGTGGCCACTTTGATGAACACAAGCTGCAAAGAAATACTGTGTTTTAGCAGTGCAGCATTGATATGTTGAGGAGGCTGAGCTGCACAGTTTTTAATTAAGAGGTGGTGGATCATGAGTGATAAAGCCACAGGAAGAATTAGACTTAATCCAGCCAGAACTTCAGAATTTATGCTATGTGCACATAGAGATGTACACGCACTTTTATATGTGATACTTATATGTGTGTGCAGATGTTACTGTTCTTGTTAATGTTATTCAGAGTAATTTTGTTTTATCTGGATAGGTGAAGAGTTTTTCAAAGTTAAAAAGCCATCTTTCAATGAAGTAACCTTTAGAATTCAAAAGAAGGAAAGCCTACTACCTGCACAGAGAGAAGAAGAAAGCAAAAGTAAGTACTTTTTTAGTTAAGTATGTTATAAAATACTTATATGTCAGTGTATGGCAAAATCAGTTAGTGGAGAGTAATGCGCAAATACTGCTTTTAAGGGTTTTTTCGTTGTTACTTTACAGGTTTATAATTTTAATCTATTTGTGTTGAAATTATTTTCAATATGGATACCCCTGGTGGTCTAGTGGTTAGGATGCGGCGCTCTCACCGCCGTGACCCGGGTTCGATTCCCGGTCAGGGATACTCCCCCGGGCAGATGGAGCTTGTCAGCCCTGTGAGGCCATCCATCTGTGAGAAGGTCACTCTAAACAAACCTACGTCCTGAGGACCTCACTGCCATTGTCCAAGCTCGCTTGGCCCTGGCAGATGAACCTTAGGATTAAAGGGTGGGCTCAGTTCAGCGCAGGCTGTGTCTCACCTAAAAAATCCATTGCGCAGGCTTGAAAGGTAAAAGACCTTTCCCAAAATCTTTGTTCGCGAAGACTGGCCATTAATTTTAAATTTTCAATATGACCTTGGTAAAAGAGTATCAGAACTTGGAGGCTGTTCATGAGAAGACCTGATTATGCAGAACCCCTATCGTACATCAGTTAGTAAAGTTCTTCTACATTTTTACCTCAGGATCATATATTTCAGACTATGTGCCACCGGTTCATTGCTTACTGCTGTCAAATTGCAGTTTGATCTGAGTATTGGCATTGAGAGAAAATGTGAGCTTAGTAGATTTTGTTTGATAAAACTTAATGTAAACCTTAAACTTTAGTTATTAAACTGTGTGCTCTTACAGTATTTGAATATGTTAATTAAATATGCAGTAGCCTTGGTTATTCTGGTTGTATTCCTAGCTTCATTGAACTATAGTAAGCTGCCCAGAGAAGTTGTGGACTCCCTGTTGTTCAAGGCCAGGTTGGATGCGGCTCCAAGCAACCTGGTCTAGTGGAAGGTGTCCCTGCCCATGGCAGGGGGTTGGGAACTACATGATCTTTAAGGTCCCTTCCAACCCAAACCATTCTATGATATGTTTCCTGGGAAATTCCGAGTTTGTGTTTTTTACAAACAAGTGTGTCTAAAAGTTCTCTTCCCCTTTTGACACCTCTGTCAATTCACAGATATACTATATTTGCTAATGTTAGGTAAAAATAAATTAGATTGAGAAATAATTCCATTTGAGATTGTGATTCAGATGAGATGGTAAATTTTCTTAGTAACTTCTTATAAAAGTATATAAGATAAAAGGTGGCACATTCTGTTGTTCAGTAATTAGATGATTTACTGAAGGTGTAGTGGCAGATGAAAAGAAATCAATATTTTTAAAGAATAACCGTAGACAAGACAGATACACATAAATGTTTATAGTTTAAATAAGAGCTCCCTCATTGTTAATGCTTTGAAAAAAGTGCTTTCTAAATACAATTTTTCAAGTCAAGAACCCAAATACGCTGTAAGCTATCAGAATATTAATCAATTGTTATCTGGAAGCTGATCTCATTGCTTTTGTGCATGTAAATACGCCCTGTGTCTCAGAAGGACTATCAAAGATGCTTTGATTTGAAACAAGAACTGGCTTGTAAATGACTGTCTTGGAATGTCACAATTTGACATGTTTTGATGAGAACAGGTGGGGATGGACAAGTGACCAGTCTTTGCTGCAGCAAGCTGTAAATAATTCCTGGAAACCAGCTATGGCACATCAGATTCCAGCAGTAAAACTAAAATCATTAATCTTACTTTTTTCCCCCTAATACAGAGATCTGCCAGTTGGAACCTGGAGCTGACAACACCAAAGGCACTTGTGAAGAGGAGGATGAGGAGAAGGAGGATGAAACTTATTCTTCACTGAATGAGGACTACAATAGCTCAGACTCTGAAAATGATTCCAACTCTCCACAGAGAAGGAAGGATTTATCACCAGGTTAGTTTCTGGATTTTTTTTTTAAGGAAGTTATTTTAGAATGTTCTTGTTTGAAGTACATGACAAGTTAGGTGAGATGGATCCCATGCAGCATAAATCACGTAAGATGGAGGCATCTCTTTGTGCTTCTGGAAGAATAGCAATGGTTTCCCCATTTTTTTAGTTGCAAATATTTGTTGTATTTCTTTGTTGATTTTGGGAGTGGATCAGAAATTATGACCATTGGCTTTAGAAGAAAGGCAGCAGAAAATTCCTCTTGAACGATACACAATTCCCTTCATGAGATGAAAATCAAACCTTACTTTGGGACTGATTTTTAAACTTTGGGTTCCTTTGTAAGCTCACTAAATTAAGTGACACTGATCTTTTGGGCAGACAGAAAAACAGGATGGGCTAACAGAGATTTATTTAAAAGAAAAAGGTCTGAGCTTTGTTTTTGGACTGAGAACCACTTTTTAAGGATGCTTTTCCATTTTCTTATATTCAGCATGGTAAGTGTAGTAGAAAAACATCTGGTGTCCTCTATCCAGAATTGTACAGTGATGCTGAACAATTGTGATGATTGGCATTAGGAATGATACAGAGTGTTGCTTTCAGTCTTTTGCTTAGATTTTCTTTCTCCTTGGTGCAGGTGATATCCCCAGTGCAGCTCACGTTGAGGCTGCTCGGAGGAAACGTCACTTAGCCAGGACCAAGGCTGATTATCTTCCATTGGATGTTTCAAACAGTCGCCACGTCTCTCGGGGAAGAAGAAGCAGTGATTTCGAGAGTGAGGATGAGTCTGAAACAAAGAATATTGATTTTGCCCCTAAAAGGAAAACTCTTAGGCAGAGGATGACTGAACAAATGGGTGAGTTTGTGTTGTTTCTCCCAGTGGCTTTGTTTTACTGTCTGGAAGAATGTGAGACTTGTCCAGTAAGCAGTGAGTGCAGTGCAGGGCTTTGCTCCTCAGGGCTCTTGGAAAAAGGCTGTACAGCTGGTACTTGTGGGTTATATGGGACATAAACTGTTTAGGTCTCGCTTGTAGTTGTGCAGGATACTTTGAGAACCATTTAAAAATTTTTTTTAGCTTTGTTGACTGCAAAAAATTGCCTTGTAGGAGGTACACTTAATGTGGATAAAGTTACTGTAAATCCTACCTCCTGCTTCTGATCTGGTCTTCCAAGTCCTCTCCGTGCATTGACATTATGACTCCTATTGAAAAAAAGAAAAAAAAAAAAGCAAACCAGCATTCCAGCCCTTCAGAAGTGAACACACCTATTGCACACAAAGCATACCTGGCTTTTCCATTGCTTTTATCCTCTTGGAGCTGCTTAATAGTGTTGTTTATGAAGCACAGGTTTACTTTATTATTTGAGTGAGGGTTATAAGGAATGCATAGCTACGAGCGAGTTCTGCAATTCTAATTAATGCTAATGAGATATTTTTGTTTCTTTAGTAGAGTGTTTTGGAACACTTAAGGGTTTGTTGGGTGTAATGTCACTCAGTGGGTTACAGGCTGTACTTATACTCTTATTTATGTGTTATACACAGCTTTGCTTTGAGGCATAAAACCAAGATGTTTGTGCTCCTCCTACTGCAGTAGCTGACTGAGAAACAGTATGTTGGGGAAATTAATATTAGTATGAATTCTACAAATCCCAGTAGCCATTTCCAAGTATTCCTTGCCTTTCGGTTTGGAAGTCCTCTGGCTGCACATTTTTCATCTGCTGGTTTTTATGTGTACCACTTCCTAGTAGTGGCTGGGAGACCCACTGTTGCTTTAGAGGGAGGAGACCATGAGAGGGGGAAAAAAATAAAGGATGCAATTACATCTAATAATGATTGTTTTAACTTGCAGTGTCTGTGGGTGATGGATCAAGTGAAGATGAAGCCAAGTGGGAAGAACAGCAAATAAAGAAAGCTGTTAAACTCTCTCAGGTGACACACGCTTTCCTAACAACTAGAAGTTGCTTTTATTGCTCATGCACAGGAGAACTTGTCTTGGATTACTGTCCTATCTCCTTCCTGCCTCTCATTAGAGAGGATTTTAGGAAGTTATACCCTGATTCTTCAGGGAGAGGATGGTTAGAAATATGGGAAGATGATAAGGAATATCTGTCTGGCTGTTGAGAAGC